GTAGTAGTTTCTTATCGTAATTGTGTTTTTTAAAAATATTTGTCTATTTATTTGAAAGTTGGACTTAACACAGAGACAGAGGGAAAGAGAGGGAGAGAGAGGGGGAGAGAGAGAGAGAGATAAGGAGAGAGAGAGAGAGAGAGAAGAGAGAGAAGCAGAGAGAGATCTTCCGCCCACCGGTTCATTCCCCAAATGGCCACAATAGATAGGGCTGGGCCAGACCAAAGCCAGGACTCTCATGTGAGTAGCATGGGCTCAGATACTTGGGCCATCATCTGCCAGCCCATTTGTAGGGAACTGGATCAGAAAGGGGGCAGCTGGGACTGGAAGTGGCACCCATATGGAATGTCGGTGTTGCAGGTGGGGTTTTACCCACTACACCATAATGCTGGCCTCTCTCATTGCAATTTTTTTTAAAGACTTATTTATTTATTTGAAAGTCAGTGTTACACAGAGAGAAGAGAGGCAGAGAGAGAGAGAGAGAGGTCTTCCATCTGATGGTTCACTCCCCAATTGGCCACAACGGCTGGAGCTGTGCCGATCCGAAGCCAGGAGCCAGGAACTTCTTCCCGGTCTTTCATGTGGGTGCATGGGCCCAAGGGCTTGGGCCATCTTCTACTGCTTTCCCAGGCCATTGCAGAGAGCTGGATTGGAAGTGGAGCAGCTGGGACTCAAACCAGTGCCCATATGGGATGCTGGTGCTTCAGGCCAGGGCATTAACCTGCTGTGCCACAGCACTGGCCCCTCATTGTAATTTTCAATTGCATTTCTTAGTGACTACTAGTGTTGAGTAACTTCTCATGTTCTAAGTGTTTTGTTATTCAGAAAAAAATTTTGAAATAATAGATTTTGGAGTAGAAAATCTGAAAACCAGAAAACACATGTCTAAATATTCTACATCAGAGTTTATGCAGCAGTGTCTCTCACTGCAAATTGCTTGCATTGGAATTACTCGGATATTTGTTACAACACAGATGTCTCTTCGGCTGCAGAACTGAATCGATACGTGACCTCCAGAGTCCACATTTTAACACTCCTAACCACTACCTCTGATGGTTGATTCTAAAACACACTGAAGTTTGAGAATCAACAGCCAAATCCAAGAAATGCACTTTTGCTCGCCTAATGACCAACACACACACCTGTAGGAGCCACTACGTGAGGGCCCTAAGAAATGAGTAACCATGCCAGAAAACATGTCCACGGCATCATGAATTCAGTGTCTTCAGGAAAATCACCTTTCTGATTCTAGAGCTCTTTTTCTGGGAATGGATCAATCAAAATTCGTCAGCCCTTTGCCTCTGGTAGCAATGCTAGAACGTGGCTCCTGCCTCCTGTGTAAGGCACCAGGGAACGCAGAGAGGACAGCGTCTTGAAGTTAAGTGCCCTGAGATACAAAAACTCTCCACCAGGTTCACGAAAACTTTAGCCGTGTTTCCGTGATGACTGATTTAGTGTCATTCCCAGGAACAAGGCTTTAAATGAATCATCATTATAAGATAGTCTCGGGGGTGGTGCTGTGGTGTAGCGGGTAAAGCCACAGCCTGCAGTGCCAGCATCCCATATGGGCGTCAGTTTAAGTCCTGGCTGCTCCACTTTTAATCCAGCTCTCTGCTATGGCCTGGGAAAGCAGTAGAAGATGGCCCAAGCCCTTGGGCCCCTGCACCCATGTGGGAGACCAGGAAGAAGTGTCTGGCTTCTGGCTTCAGATTGGTGCAGCTCTGGCCATTGTGGCCAATTGGGGAGTGAACCAGAAGGAGAGGAAGAAGACAAGAGCCTCAGCCTGGCCCAGGGGTCCAGCTGGATGACAGCCTCGTCATCATGCTGCCAGCTCCTCAGATACTCATCTGCTAAGACTGGCCAACCCAAACCGTTTCAAAGCTGCTCTTCGTCTCAGGGTTCGTTAGGATCCTAGGTCATGTTTTACGCAGAGGCTGGTGAGCACCATTGCTCCCACCCCAAAATTCCAAAATGCCATGGCCCCTACAGCCTTGGGGAGGAGGTTTCACTTTGGAAAAAAAAAGGTTTAGGACTTAAAGGGAGACATTCTTCATATCCCGTGATGACAGCTCAAAGCAGGAAATGTTAATAAAACTGGTAGAAAAAGGATCAAAAGAGCTTGAAACGGAGGTGGGGCTGGCGGCCTGGAATCTTACCAGGAAACTGCTTTTCTTTCCCTAAGGAGTCAAACTAAAAAGGAATCTTCCCATTTGTACTTCAAACTAGCTTTAAATACATTAGGAGAAAATATATATACACACAACAAACCTCCCACCCAGACAGCTCCCCTGGCTGGTAATTCTATTTGAATGGTCCGTGGGTGGCATCCTGCACAGCCAATTCATCACTGAGCTCCCCGCCACAGCTCCAGGGAGGTGCAGAGCACACATGCGGTGAGACAGGGCAGAACAGTGCCTGCTCCTGGACGCTTTGTGGGACCATTGCCCTACAGATGGCTACTTACAGGCGAGGCAGAATTGCTTTGTAGGAACCCAGAAATGCAAACATTTATGGAATTATCAGGTACAAATTGCTTGGCACTGCAAATTGGAACAATTAGCAAACCTTTGTGACGAAGAAATGCTGAACATGAACCAACTTGAGAAAGGAATAAAAATGGACCCATTATCCCTTAATTCAATTAAATGCTTATAATATATTCGATGTGCTTTTGCCAAACCATAAATGTACCTATGCCATTGGAGAGTCGGGGTGGGGCTACTCCATTTGCACCAGCCCTGGCCCTCACCAACCTCAGAACGAGAAGGAGCAGTTCCTTCGAATGGACGAGCCCCAGCTCAGTTGCACGATATCTGTGCGCCAAGTCAGATGACGCCGATAACATGGTGCTGATAACATGAAGCTAGTTTTTGTAATGGCCACAGATTTTTAAAGAAATTAGCAACAGAGAAGTGGGCCATCTGAAATAATGACATTTAGTAATGTGACTTTTTTCCCCTTTAGAGAAGTCCAAATTATGGACATACTGTTCCCTATATTTGTCCAGATGGTAAACTAGACATGTGGGTTGGAAGTGAGCTTGAAATTTGGCACATAATTAGAATCTCTGCCCTACTAAAATAAAAATATCAAGTGGCCTGTTAATAGTTTTGCATGTTTGAGACACCATGAAATCATTTTCTGGCTTGTCTCTATCTATAGTATCTCACAAATGTGGTCTGCATAATGATTGCGGACGGCTACCCTGGGGGTGGGGGTGGGGATGGAGTATCCAGGGATGCAAAGCTCCATCAGAGCCTGAACAGACTGTAAAATGATGTGGGTCTCACTTCTGCACCTGCAAGGCAGCTGAACCCTGATCTTCTGACTCCTTGTCCAGCCCTCACTCCAAGTCATTCTTTGCCCATTAAGTGCAAAGAGCAGCATTTGAGAGCTGAGCGAGGGTGCAGGGCCCGTGCTGGCCTCACTGCTGTCTCCCCGCAGGGAGTTCTTTTCCACGTTGCTTTCTTTTATCATCTCTTTCCTTGTCTCTCTCTCTAGCCCTGTGCATTTTTCCCCTGTAAGTATCATCTTTGCTGCCGCACAGATACTTTAGGAAGTTGTTTCCGTTTTGGTGTTGGACATCGTCTGTGTCAGGACTCCTTTTAAAAATGTTTAATGTTTCAGTCACTTTCAAATTTTGCAATAATTTCAGAATGACTGAAAAGCTGCAAGAACAAAGCAGAGTCCCTCATACCCTTCACCCAGATCCCCCAGAGGCTGTGGCTTCCCCATATGTCCTCTCTCCTTTTCTCTGCGTGTCCGTGCACTTGAGCTTTTGTCTGAACTGATTGAGTATGTTGCAGTGTGATGCCCCTTCACCCCTCCATACTTCAGCATGCATCTCACCATGAAAAGCACTGCACTTCAATGCTGAAAAAAGAAAACACAGATAAGGAAAAGGAAGGAAATTAAAATCCATCTGGAATCTCACCACCCAGAAATAAACATTCTGCTGCATATTCTTCCAGTTCTCTTCTATGCATATATTCACATTTTTACGCAAATGGGATTTTGTGCGTAGAACTTGGAGCCCTGCTGTTGGAAGTGGCATGGTACAGTGGGGAACTCTGCTTCTGGGGTTAGCCTGGGCTCAGGTCCCGGGTGTGCTGCTCCCTTGCTGGATTCCTTTCCTGTGGCTGCCGTAACAAAGTACTACAAACTAAGAGGCTTAAAGCAACAGAACTTGATTCTCTTGGACTTCAGGAGGCCAGAAGGCTGTAATCAAAATGTGTGCAAGGTTATTCTTTCTGGAAGCTTTGAGGGGGAATGGGTTCCATGCCTCTTTCCTGGCTTCTAGTGGTTGCCAGCAACCTCTGCCATTCCTTGGCTTGAAACTGGTGACTTTGGTTTCCGCTCTCTCTTCACATTGACTTGTACCCTGTGTTTATGTGGCTCTCAAATCACTCTCTCCTTTCCCATATAAGGCAACAGTCACTGGATTTAGGGCCTACCCTAAATCTCTTCTCTAAATATTTTTTAGAGAAATATTTATGTATTTATCTAAAGGCAAAGTGACAGAAAAGGAAAGACAGAGAAAGAGACTTTTCCAATCACTGGTTCTTTCTCCAAATGCCTGCAACAGCTAGGGTTGGGCTGGGCTGAAGCCAGAAACTCCATCTAGGTCTCCCACATTGGTGGTAAGAGTACAAGAACTTGGGTCACTGCTTTCTGAGGCACACTGGCAGGGAGCAGGATTGGAAGCAGAGTAGCTGGGAATCGAACAAGCACTCTAATATGGGATGCTGGCCTTGCAAGCAACAGCTTAACCTGCTGTGCCATAACACTTGCCTCCTCATCTCTTTAACCAGCAATATCTGCAAAGACCCTATTTCCAAATCAGCCCACATTCTGAGGTTCTAGGTGGAAGTGAATTCTGAGAGGTCACTGTGTATCTTACTCTACTGGCACTATGGTGGGAAACAAGGAACTTTTCCTTTCTTCGTACTTTATACCCTAAGTGTAACTTCCCTGGGAGCGTCTTGAGGATTAAGTGTGATAATACACAGAAGACAATTAGCACAATATCTAGCATGCAATAAACATTCAAGTAATGCTAGCTATTGATTATGGCAATTATATAGTTATAATTTATTCAATATTGCTATTTCCTTCTTTTTTTGGTAAAATTTATTTATTTTATTTGAAAGGCAGAGTTACAGAGAGAGATGGAGAGACAGAGAAAGAGAGAGGTCTTCCATCTGCTGGTTCACTCCCCAGTTGGCCACAACGGCTGGAGCTGTGCCGATCTGAAGCCAGGAACCAGGAGCTTCTTCCGGGTCTCCCATGTGGGTGCTGGGGCCCCCTTGGGCCATCTTCTACTGCTTTCCCAGGCCATAGCAGAGAGCTGGATCAGAAGTGGAGCAGCTGGGACTTGAACCGGGGCCTATATGGGATGTCGGCAGTGCAGGCAGTGGCTTTACCCGCTACGCCACAGTACTGGCTCCTATTTTTTTTTTTTAATTATAGAAGAGATCCTAATAACCAAAACCCGTTGTGATTATTTTTGAAACTTTCTTACATATTCATGATTCCCTTAGCATAAATCTCTAGGAATGGTCCACAGAATTCTAAGCTTCTTGCTGTAACAATTACTTTTTTTGGGACTGCATGGTTTTGTGAATGATTTTCCACGTCTCTTTTGTGAAATCATCTTTGTGCATCAGTCTGAAGACCCATCTTTATTCTTCCCAATTTACCATTCTTGGAACTACACCCGCTGCTGAGGCCTGATGGTGTGGAACGCCTGCCCGCCACGTGATTCTTCCGTTGGGGCTCACAGTGGACACGGAGCAAGGCCTGGGAGAAAACACAGAGCAGAGCACGTCACCAGGGGCCAGGCTGCGCCCGAGAGGGACAGGGACCCAATCTGAAACCAAGTCGCTGGAGTTTGCAAAGCAGTTTTGAACACTCAGGTAGACGGTAAACCACAACCGTGGCAGGAAAACAGCCCACCACAAGCCAAGGCCTAAAACCCCAGCTGACTCTGTTCACGCCTTAATAAGAAATTGCTCAGCAGTTCAAACGCCCCGGTTCAAAGCCCTCCCCCCACTGCCACAGGAACCTGAGAGGCCATCGTTCCGGGGGAACCCTCGGGCCACCAGGGCACAGGACGTTTGAGATCCTGCGCTTCTTCCTCCTCTCCCTTAGCGCGGAGGTGAGGGGGGTTAAGCAGTAGAAGGAACCGTCCGTGGGGCTGCCACTTTGAACTGTGCTTCTCTAGCTGTGATGAGGCCGGGCACTGGTGTGTGACACGTACGTTTCCTCCTGGAGCAAGCACACAAAACTGTAGCCGCTTCTTTTGACCACAATTAGAAAATATTGCCAGTGTAGGTGACCACAGGAGGTATTCAAAAACAACCCAACGGTTCCGACAGAGCCAAAACAAAAAACTAGCCCTCTACACACACATACACTACCCGTTGCCCTGTGGGACACCGCCCACGTGTAAGTATTCTTTCTTCTGTTTGACATTCTTTTTTAAGATAATATTCGAAACAGTTCACAAAAGTCACAAATTTGGAGGTCTAGCTGACAATCTATATTTAGCACCGCAGCAGGCTTGTGAGAACTTGTTTTTATTTTGATTGTTGTGGGTTCCCACCCCTGGAGTTTCGTTTTGACTTTTAGGGTTAAATGACTTTCAAAATGAAACTTGTCCAATTGTCAGATTTTCCCCCAAGTTGTAATTTGAAAACTGGAAGCTTTCCTATTCCATAGGTTTTTGACTATCAGTTTTCTTCCAGAATTCTTCCTCTGGCAGCCAAGCCACCTCCTCCTGTGTGTTTGATCCCTTCCTCCCTCTTCCTGAATGCCTTGGGGGGGGAAAATAAACTGAGGCCGAGGGAATGCCCCTGGTTTGATGTAGAAAGAGTATTCTTGCTCCCGGGTGGTTGAGCAAATTTGACCAAATCCATGCCTCAGTCTTCCCTTGGAGAGGGAGATGCAAATGATGTTTCCTTGGACTTTGAAGAATGCGGTGATGAGAAAACCATGTTGACTGACAGCTGGGGAGCATGTCTCCTCCCCAGCACAGGTGCCGTCTGTAAGCCTCAGGACCTGGCCCGAGTGTGCAAACTGGATTCTGCTACCCTGCGAGGGAACAGCCTCAGGAGGGCAGGGACTCCATGCACAGAAAGAATGAACGAGTCAACCCATTGGCGAAGAGATGCTAAGTGTGAGCTAATCATTCTCCCTACTTCCTCTCCGATCACATCTTATGGGCAATACTTTTTAGATGTCTGGTACACATTATGCAAAATGTTGAGTAAACTAGGGTTATATTCAGCTTGTATTCATTTTCTACTGTTGCTGTAACAAGTGACCTTCAACCTAGTGGCTTTAAGCATAACATGAGTTTATCATCATCTAGTTCTTGAGTCAGAATTCTGACATCAGGCTTACGGGGCTAAGAGCACGGTGTTAGCAGGGCTGTGTTCCTCTTGCAGCCTCCAGAGGAGAATCTGTTTCCTTGTCTTTTCTGGTTGCTAAAGGTTTGCAGATTCCTTGGTGTGTGCTCCTGCCTCCCTCCCACATGCTCATGAGGACCCTTATGATGGCATCGGCCCACCTCCTTAATCCAGCGTCCTCTCCCCAGCTCAAGATCCTTAACTTAATCACACTTGCAAACTCCCCTTTGCCACGTGAGGTTGCATTCACAGCTTCCGGGGCTCAAGATGTAGCTACATTTGGGAGGCTCATTTTCAAAGCAAGGACACAATCCCAGTACTCAGCACACACCTAGTCCATTGTAGGCACATGACTATTATCTATAGAATGAATAGTAGGGGCAAGGGTGGGGAACATTTGGCTTATGGGTTGTAAAAAGCCTGCAAAATCATTTAGTCTGGCCCTACCAAGGCAACTGCAGGTGTGACACAAAATTCAATACATCTATAGCAGGCTCATTTTTACACTGACCATTTTGTATGGCCCAGGAATGATATAAATATCCAAACGACCCTTGGCAGAGCAAAGGTTCCCCACCCCTGGAATAGACGATGCTTGCTCATGGCTGTTCAGTTCATCAGATGCTCACTGAGCATCTACTGTGAGCCAGACTCTAGGTGTGCAGAGCTGTCCTGGAACACATAGCCTGGTAGGCAAAGAGAAAATGGGAATGAGTGGAAGTACTGGGGCCTGTGAATGCAACCGGACATGGGCAGACAGCACCCAAGGAAAGCAGTTTTGTTTGCACCCTGGAGTGTCTTAAACTGTGGCCTGCTGCCTCATCTAAGAATTCTCTGGGGGCCGGTGCTATCGCACAGCAGGTTAATGCCCTGGCCTGAACCACCGGCATCCCATAAGGGTGCCAGTTCTAGACCCAGCTGGTCCACTTCCGATCCAGCTCTCTACTGTGGCCCGGGAGTGCAGTGGAGGATGGCTCAAGTGCTTGGGCCCTGCACCCACATGGGAGACCCAGAAGAAGCTCCTGGCTCCTGGTTTCAGATTAGCATATCTGCGGCAATTGGGGCCAATTGGGGAATGAACCAGCAGATGGAAGACCTCTCTCTTTCTCTGTCTCTCCTTCTCTCTCAAGTAAAATAAATAAATCTTAAAAAAAAATTCTCTGAACACATCGTCTTGGCAAAGTTGATTACTTATATTTCTATTTACTTATGCCTCGTTTCTCTCCCAGGTGCTCTTCTGATGTTCTAAGGGTCTCTAGTGAGAATTGTGAAAGAAATCCGTGAAAAAGTTTCTGTAGAACTTCCCCATCGCCACCCTCTGCCCAACTCGGGGACAGCTCAGGCGCTGCAGAGGAGGTCGGAAAAGCAGACTAGGTGAAGTGGTTTCCCGAGCTAGCCTGGGAGCCGAGGCGCGGCAGCTCCTTGGTGAGACGGAGAAACATGCTGCAAATGTCAGATGGTACCAGGACGCCTGGCCTTTCAGAACACAGCTGTTAGCAAGGCAAAGACGGCTGCTCGCGCGCCAGCCTGCACTGACTGAACTCCCGTGACTCACTTCTGAACAACACCGCACAGCTTGAGTTATTTCTGTACGGGGTCATCTGGGTTTCAGAGGGGCTGTCCAGATGCAGACCTTGCTTTCCGAGAGCCAGCGTGGCCATCCCAGCCTTGGGGCTTTCTGCATTTCTCTCCTTTCCTCCCTTCCCTTTTCTCCCTCTTGTTCCTTTTTAAGCAGCCAGCAACGGAGTCTCCTTTGTCTGCTGGGTGAGTGGCTGGCTTGAAGCAGGAGTTCAATGGGAGGCTGAGGGGAGAAAAATCCTGAGACCGCGTGGAGGACAAGTCAGAGGTGGGACAACCTCTGCCTATGTCACTCAAGAGTCTGATTTTGCAAACCCATATCCCCTCCCCCACAAGGATCCCAGGCTCTTGTGGAAATAAATACTTCACTCCTTTTTGAAAGGCTGAAATTCCTCCCAGTCTGAAGGGATGTTCTCGTGTTAAATTGTGAACACATTTATTCACGTGTCGTCTTGCAAGCTTTTCCTCTACACTTTCTCGTGTTTATTAGCCGATAACCCTCCCAAGCACCATCATTTCTGGGTGGTGGATGCTGGTTAAAACAAACAAACAAAAAAATTGCTAATCCTGGACAGCTGCTTTCAATTCTGCCCAAATGGACTTGGAGCAGGAGATTTGTTCATTCAGAGTGTTTTCAGATAACTTTTTTTTTAAGATTTATTTATTTGAAAGGCAGTTACAGAGGCAGAGGGAGACAGAGACAAACAGAGAGAGAGAGAGAGAGGTCTTCTATCCACTAGTTTACTCCCCAATTGGTCGCAATGGCGGGAGCTGAGCAGATCTGAAGCCAGGAGCCGGGAGCTACCTCCAGGTCTCCCACGCAGGTGCAGGGACCCAAGGACTTGGACCATCTTCTATGGCTTTCCCAGGCCATAGCAGAGAGCTGGATTGGAAGTGAAGCAGCCAGGACTTGAACCAGTGCCCATATGGGATGCCGGCACTGCAGGCGGCGGCTTTACCCACTATGATAAAGCACCAGCCCCAGATAACTTTCAAAACCTGCATTTCTCCATGCTAATGCATTTCTGCTGCCCACACCTGACCAGGCATGTGTGTGCGCGCGTGCACACACCCCTACACTTTGTGTTTCCGAGTCAGCCAGTGTCAGCGAGCATCACCACTAGCCTGCAGCATTCGAATGGCCCCTAGTTGTTCTCAGGTGAAAGAAGTTTGAGGACTATGCAGAGCTGAAGAGATTTAGATTTGCTAAAAGAAAGAAAGAAAGAAAGAAAGAAAGAAAGAAAGAAAGAAAGAAAGAAAGAAAGAAAGAAAGAAAGAAAGAAAGAAAGAAAGAGAGAGAGAGAGAGAGAGAGAGAGAGAGAGAGAGAGAGAGAGAGAGAGAGAAAGAGAGAAAGAGAGAAAGAGAGAAAGAGAGAAAGAGAGAAAGAGAGAAAGAGAGAAAGAGAGAAAGAGAGAGAGAAAGGGGAGGAGTGCCACAGGCTGGCCATGTTTTTATTTGCTAGGAAATGTCATTCAGGTAGAAAGCAACTTACACCGCTCCCTTACAGAAACACATTAACCATAGAAATAGGAAGGGCAGACTGAAAAATAAGGGATCATCTTCTAAATCTCACAAATGTCGCTTCACGAAAAACTCACCGCAGCGTCCTTTTGATCTGGTTTTATCGCGACCAGCGAAAGCCCCATCATGAACAAGCATTTGGGAAAGAAATGTGGAAAAACTTTGCAATTCCATGAGTGAGAGGGAGCCCTCGTGCTTGTGCTATCTCATCTTCAAAAGGATGGCGAGCAGAGTCGGGTTTCAGTCCAGAGGCAGAAGCAGGGAGCCTCATCCACTGGAACCTGCATCTGGCCGGCTGACTGGGCAGGATGTCCAGATGGGCACCTGCTCCTGACTTCCACTCCCTCAGCCCTCCCTCGGTGGTTGGAATCAGAGCTGCTGGTTGCACAGCGTCCTTGGCCCTAGGGATGCTCCCATCCAGCTGACCCTCCGCCTGGCCTGGCCTGTGTGGACATCATGGTCCCAGGCTGGTGGGGGGCGGGGAGCAGCCAGCTCAGGCTCTCCATCTTGACATCTTACTTGCCCCGCTCCCAAAGAACCCTGAAGTAGAACACGCAGCAGAGGCGGGTGGGCTGAGACACTGCAGGGCCAGACAACATGCTAAACACAGGCTTAAGGGTACGTCAATAGCTTCGCGGAAAACTGGATGAAAAGATCATTTTATTTGGGTGCAAACATTTTTGAGAGCCATGCGTCCTTCTTTTCATAATACAGATTTCCATGCACTTTTGGAAGACCCGTCATATGCACGGATTTCACAATATTTTGTACTAAAATAAGCTTGTTTTAATTCCATTTTTCGATGAACTTAAACTTTTTTTGAGAGGCAGAGAGGGAGACAGACAACTGCCACTCACGGGTTCACTCCCCAGATTTCCACAGATGGCACCTGGCGGAAGCCTGGAGCAGAGGTCTCCACCCAGGTCTCCCCTGTGGGTGGCACGACCTCAATGACCTGACCATCACTACTGCCCCAGGGTCTGCGTTAGCAGGAGCAGGTGCCAGGTACCAAACCCAGGTACTCCGATGCGGAACATGGGCGTCTTAACCAGGGTCTTCACCGCGAGGCCCAACGTCTCCCACCCTCCTTGGCACTTACTCTACAGCTGGTCATAGCACCCAAGTGACTGGAAAGCTTGCGGCCGAGGGCTGGGTTCTGCAGACCGACGGAGAGACTTGGGGCGCCGCCGGGAGGCCCGCAGCCTGGATCCAGGGATGGAAATGGCTTGCACTCACGAGACAGCAAGCCCAGGAAGCTCTTCCCGCACTCGCTACACTCAATAGACAGTCCCAGAGCTGCTAGCAAAGCCACGCCGCCTCCGGGGAGGTTGAAGGGCAGAGAGAAACGCCAGTAATAAACACACTGAAACTGACAAGGCAGCGCTGCAGTCGCGGGATGACTAACCCTGGCCTGGTTGCGAAACCTCGCGCCGGTCGCTGTGGTTGGCACGTCAGGGGCGCCTTGGGCCGTGCTTGCACTGCCACCTAGTGGTTGAAAAATCAAGGCTCGGCCTGGGAGGCGTTCTGCACCTGAGTGGGACCAAGGCGGGCAGCTACCATCAAGAGCAATTTTCCTCGTGAAAACTTGGTAAGGTGAGCATTTCATTCAAAGAGTTGCATGCCAATTTCATCATTTAATTTCCTATTCCCTCGCAAAGTCTCTGAGAGTAAGGATAGGGCCAAGGGGTAGCAGCCTAGGACAGTGAAGGTGCATTGGAGTCACTAACTCTGGAGTGTAATTTAGGGAAATGGCTTAAGTTTTCTCTTACAAAAATGTGACTCAGCAATACCAACCATCCACTACTCAAAAGATGATTGCAAGGCAGGAAGATGGAGCCACTACCTCTCCCCTTTGTAAAACTTGTGCGCCTAGGCCCTACGCTCTCCAGCTTCTAAAACACAGTGTTTCTTTTTCTTGATGTCATGAAAAACCAATCTGTTATTTAACTTCTGAATTTTTTTGAGATTTATCTACTTATTTATTTGAATAGCACAGTTATGGAAAGAGGGAGAGAGCTCTTCCATCTGCTGGTTCACCCCCTAAATGACCTCAATAGCCAGGGCAGGGCCAGGTTGGAACCAGGAGCCAGGAGCTTCCTCTGGGTCTTCCACATGGGTGCAGGGACCCAAGGACTTAGGTCATCTTCTGCTACTTTCCCAGGCACGTTAGCAGGAAACTAGATCAGAAGTGGAGCAGCCAGGACACAAATCTGCCCAAATGGGATGCCAGCACCACAGGCAGGAACAATGCGGGCCCCTACTTTCTGAATTTCGGAGAAATACACCTTTATGTCTATAGACTCCTTGGTATGGGGATGTGGGCTTGTCCCATTGAATCAGCGGCCCCAGGAACATCAGGCAGTGCTCACCCAGCCTTGTTCTCTGTGGGTGATTTTCCCTGGGCACAGCCAGAGTTTTCTGTCCTGGAATATACCTTGCTCTTGAGACACAAAATTTAGGAGTTATGGGCAAGTGTTTGGTACAGTGGTAAAGCTGTCACTGGGGTACCTGCAGTCTCATCAGAGTGTGTGGTTCTAATGTGCCTTCGCTCCAGCTTCCCTCATGGGCACCCTGGGAGGCAGCAGTGATGGCTCAAGTAGTTGGGTTCCTGCCACCCATGTGGGAGGCCTGGATAGAGTTCTAGGCTCTTGGCTTTGGCCTGGTCCAGCCCTGGCCGTGGCTGGCATTTAGGGAGTGAACCAGTGGATGGAAGATCTCTGTCTCTCTCTGTCATTCAAATAAAATTGGGGGAAAATGTCATCTTAAGGATGGAACTGCACATTTTTTAAAAAGTGAAGGGTGGAAAGGAGGAAGAAAATATGTTCTTAGAACTGTATCTGCAGGGGCTGGCGCTGAGGTGCAGTGGGTTAATGACCTGCCCTGAAGTCCTGGCATCCCATATGGGCACCGGTTCAAGTCCCGGCTGCTCCTCTTCTGATCCAGCTCTCTGCTATGGCCTGGGAAAGCAGTAGAAGATGGCCCAAGCCCTTGGGCCCCTACACCTGCGTGGGAGACCTGGAGGAAGCTCCTGGCTCCTGGCTTCGGATGGGCGCAGCTCCGGCCATTGTGGCCATTTGGGGAGTGAACCAGCAGGTGGAAGTCCTCTCTCTCTCTCTGCCTCTCCTCTTTCTGTGTAATGCTGACTTTCAAATAAATAAATTAATTATAAAAAAAGAACTGTATCTACAAATCACATGTAACTTGCTACAAATGAATTAAAAACTAAAATAAAAATTACAGGAAAAGAGAACATAAAAAATGAAGTGTACTGAAGTGGTAGGTTCAAAATCCTAATTCTTAATAATCTGTAAACACACTTTCATGGAGTTTTCAGATCTATTCAGTGTTATTCACACATGCTCACAAGGGAATAGTCACAAGTCGAAGCCTGTTTATAAACCTCCCAAGTAGCTTTACTGCCTCTCAACGGTAACATGGGGCAGTGAGTTCTTATTCCTTGGATGAAACCCCCTGAAGGTCAGGGCCAGGTTTGGTTTAGTGCTGTGCCTGTGTGTTGAACTAAAGGGATCTCTACTGCAGAACAGTTTGCAAGTTCCTTTAGTTGGTCCAGTGCTGGGCAGCTCAAAGTTCACCAGAAGACATGATTCCATGTAACTTGTACCTCGCAGATGGCAGAAGTTAGAGGACAGCACCAAACCTTCACTGACAGGCATCAGGAGGAAAGAACAGGGCCACTGGGAGGCTTTGGAGATAAGTAGCTGCTGATTTGGGGTGTTTTTGCAGCAGTGTGCAGTGGGAACTGGCCAGGTACAGCATGAAGCTGGCCTTCCTGGGCCCACTCTCCATTGGAAACATGGAAGGGTTCCTTCTACACCACCAACCACCTTCACAGCATGGGCTTATTCTCAATTCAGTCTCCAGGAGCCTAAGGTTTTCCATGTGGTTGGACATGAGGATCATTGCCAGATCCCAGCTATGCCTGCATCTGCCCCACTAACCTGCTAACGGGTTCCCTCCTTCAGTTTTTTATTTTACATTGAACAGTAGTAATGAGAGAGACCTAAGATGTCATTTACCAGCTCTGTCCAATATAATAGCTATTAAGCCCACATGGCTATTTACATTTAAACTGTTTTAAATGAAATAAAGCCTGTAAAACTTGGTTTCTCAGATGCCTTAGGCATATTTCAAGAGCTTAATAGCCACATGTGGCCGCTAGAGCATTTCTGTCGTCATAGAAATATCTGTCAGATGGTGCTAAGACCAAAGCACTCATTTTAAAAACAAGGACGAGATCAGCCAGGTCCTTGGCAGAACACTGGGTAAAACCCAGATGTCCATACTGGAAATCTGTCCTCTCTTCGCTGCCTTGGAGGAAGGCACCATTGAAAACAGGGGCAGAGGTTTCTCAATAGCTTGTTAGTACAGGCATTAGTCAGCTTCTCATTTATCCTTACAAAATACCGGAGGCAGCTAACTTTAGAAAGAGAAAAGTTTTGTTGAGTTCACAGTTTGGGGGTTCAAGTCCAACATCAGGCAGCCCATTGGTTTGGCCTCTGGTGAGGGTGGCAGATGGCAATGGCAGAGCCCATGCAGAGGAAGGGCCCAATGCCAGACCAGGAAGCAGAGCAGGTCATTGGGCCCAAACTGGGCTTTCATGACAATCCTCCAGTGTGAACCACCTCTCTGGATATGCCCCAAACCCTCCTAAGGACCTCCCGCTAGGCACTACTGGAAGTTTCCATCACCTACCAATAGCACCAGTCTGGGGACCAAATCTTCAACACATGAGTCTTTGGGGGACGTTTAACATTCTTAGGGTAGCAGCGCATCATTACCAGTTATGAGCTAGAATCTTCTGAATCCTCCCAGGAAGAGGCCAGGTCAGGAGGGACGGGAGCCACCATGATTCAGGATGATTCGTCCATGACTGTATTCCCAGGCCTGGGCCAAAGCTGATTTTCTACTGTGCCAAAGGAAATGAGAGAAGCCAGCAGGTGCAAGTGGTGCTGGGAACGAAGCAAAGGGATTTTTAGGGAAGACTGGAGAATTCTAAGATCGTTGATGAAAACAGGTTATCTCTTCCAGCTGAATTTCACTCTGCCTTGTCCTGACCCTCCAAATTTATACTCTACTTCCTGGGATACTCGCCTGACACTCTTCTGGGTGTATTAACCTTTGCCCTAGTTCATATCCTATGCATGTGGGTAATGACTTTCAACCCATGTGAAAACAGAGACCAGGCATCGGTTAGAAGTTTTGTTTTGTTCTAGCAGCTGGGCACCTGTAGCAGAGTGTAGGATAGGACTGCAGAAGATGTTGGTCTCACCTCCAGCTGCCTTTCCCCTCTGGGCATCTCACTTACATCAGTCTCCTCAGCTGTGAAATAGGACTACAATAAAAACTTGTTGTCAGGACCATGGAAGGGATCCAGTGAGGTAGTATTCGAGACAGTCATGTGTGAAGCAGAGAGCTCTGTACCCATGCTAGTTACAATCTTAATTATTGAGTGGTCACCTGGCACTTCTCCCATAGCAACTATGGTTCTGAATACTGGGTAGCCATCATTACCTTAGGTTTACCAGATGTATGTGGTGTGCTTCTACCCCCACCCCCTGCGCTAAGATTTATTGTGTTTAAACAGTCAATGGGTCCAATGGATCTGTATTTGAAGATGATGTAGTCAAAGCCTACGTAGTTTTGTGAGCCAGCAAAGACTAGTGTAATGTTTCAATTAGCTCCTTGAGGAGATACATGGTGCTTGAGATATGCCAAATAAGCAGCATGCAACCTCTGTAGGAGAAAAGAAGTCAGCCGGCTTTGCGTGAAGACACAGCTTCCTGCAGAGCCAGATGTAGTTCGCGTTTTCCTCGTGCTTGTTCCCAATAGCAGTGCTCAGGGGGGATAAACTTTACTTAACCTAATTAATTTTAATCACAGCTTTCAAATCTCATACTGTGAAAAGAATTACAAATTGGAATACATTAATAGCAGCCATAGTTTGTGCTGCAAGCTAATCATGAATTGTGCGTTTACATTTTCTGCATGAGCTTGCAATTACCATTAAAATAAATTCCGTTATGTCCTTTTAAATTACCAAAATGTGAACAGCAGATTGAGCCAGGCCCATTTTTGTGCTAGATTACTAGAAGAGTGTCTAAATTTCCAAGAATTCGACGGCTTCCTCCATTGGAGCTGCAGTGAGGAATGACTTCCAGTCGTCTGCTCCAGGCAGTTGCCATTTTTAACTAATCTTTTAACTGTGCAAATGTCTCACCTGCTTTACCAAGTAGTCTTCTGAGTGTAATACGGAGAAGGAGTAATATACACATGTAATTATGTATGCAGTTATATGTGCACATGCGTACTTACATACGTATGATGGATAGGTGTAATTTTCTGTTAGGTTTCATGTAGACTTTTATTTTAAGGATGCATATATGTAAGTAACTGCTAGCTGGCTCCTTGAAGGATCTGAAGCACTTTAGAGGGAACACAGAGGGTATAATAATGAAATTTTAATAAAGAACTGGCTCCCAAATTAGGATAGAGTGGTATAACATCTACAGAGCGGGAGCAGGGCCTGTGTGAGAGTGGGACTTGGTGGTGGGTTTCACTTCCTTTCACACATACCATCTTGCTCTGTCCTTACAGCAACAGTCCTGCGGAAGGCAGAAGGTGAGACAGCGATATGATGGCATCCGTTTTACTGGTGAGGAGGAGACTGAGAGAGTATTAGTGAGGAGCAGACCAGGTCTCTCAACTCCAATCTGAGGGTCTTTCTGTTGGGAGATTTCGACACTAGAGACCGTTATGGAACTTTAAGTTGAGACGAGCAGCTGTAAGCACTGACCCTGTGCAAGTAGCTTCCTGATGTCCAGACATTAGCAGTGCAAAATACTATGGGGAAAATGCTCCTGCACATTGCCTCAGCTGCTCTGTTTGTCCACCTGGCTGGCCTCAGTTAGACTCCCGTTTCCCAGGAATCTTTCCCATCACGTTATGCCTGAGACTGTTCCTAGTGTGTTGCCGACTGGTGTTCCAGCAATGCACAGACACAGCCCTGAACAGCAACAGTGTTGGAAGAAAAGTTCCTTATACCTCCGGCACTCATCTCAAGGCTCATGTCTGAGACCCCGTAACAGAAGACAGATTAACAAGAAAACAGCATACAAGTTTGTTTAATATAAATTCTATGGAAGACTTCTCACATGAAGACTCCAAGAAGCAGGGAAGGGGCCAGTGTTGCTTGAGTGCCGGTTTGAGTCCTGGCTTCTACACTTTTCAACCAGCTTCTTGCTAAATGGCCTGGAAAAGCAGCAGAAGATGGCTCAAGTACATAGCCCCTGCTACTCACATAGGACACCAGGATGGAGTTCCAGCCTCCTGGCTTCAGCCTGGCCCAGCCTTGGCTGTTGTAGCCATTTGGGGAGTGAATCAGCAGATGAAAGATATTTTGTCTCTCTCTCTCTCTTTGCCTCTCTTCCTCTCTCTGTCATTTTGCCTTTTGAATACAAAAATAAATCTTTTTTTAAAAAAAAGTCTTGCTCCTTTATTTAAAAAAGAGAGGGGAAGAAACAAGGACATCTGTGTATTTTTGGGCTTGGGCTGTATGAGGGTGAACAAGTGTGCAGAAGCGTGACAGAGTGGTCACCAACTAGGCCTGTCTTTCCAGATTCGTCTGATGTCTCTGTCCTCAGGTCCTTTCCTGTGGGTAGGGGAGGCCCCCTCTGGCAGGAGGGCCTGACAACCTTCTTTAGAGGAGATCAGGAAATTCCTTTATGCCCTGTTTCAGGTGCGAATGGTGGGAGAAGCTGAGACAGCGCTTCTGCTTCTGCTTCCTCCAGTGTCGAGGGGCCTTACTCTGGGGCAGTGTGCCCTGAATGCTGTCGACAGCAGCAGCAGCAGCAACAGCACTCGGAAACAGCAGCTGTCAACTGATTGCTTACTGTGTTCTAGACACTTTATCAGATGACAGCCCCTCCCCTTTAGCACTTCCTCTTCTTCCTCAGTATTCCATTTCCACCTACATTCCTATTCCATATGGCCTTAAGATGCCCGCCAACAGTTTGCCAGCCTCTGAAATGCCAACCCCATGATGGCACCATGGGCCCTAACCAGATCCTTTTCCTGGTCAGGAGGGCTAAGCCATCATGCCCAGAAATTGTCTAGTTCTAGATATCCGGGTCTCCATCAGATACTAGCTTTTCTTGGCCAAGCACTTTTTAAAAAAAGGTTTAGTTATTTATCTGAAAGTCAAAGTTAGAGACGCGTACACACACACACACACACAGAGAGAGAGAGAGAGAGAGAGAGAGAGAGATCTTCCATCTGCTGGTTCACTCTCCAAGTGGCTACAAAGGCCAGAGCTGGTCCAGTCTGAAGCCAGCAGCCAGGAACTTCATCCAGGTCCCCTACATGGACACAAGGGCCCAAGCACTTGGGCCATCTTCTGCTGCTTTCCCCAGGCCATTAGCAGGAAGCCGGATCAGAAGTGGAGCAGCCAGGACACCAACTGGTGCCCAAATGGGATGCCAGTATCATATGTAGTGGCTTAACCTGCTATGTCACAATGCCAGCCCCACTGGGCAACACTTTTTTCACTCGTGGCTGATCTCACTTGCTTTTGGATTCAGAGATATAAAGAGTCCGCCTTGGGGCACCTTAGACATGCATGGGGCAGTATCTCATCCATCTTTATGGGGGACAGCAGGCAGCCAGGGGCACCTGAAAGACCTGGGCTTTCAGATCCTGAAGACCTGGGTGTGACCTATGGCTCCACGGTAATGGCAGCAAGGAGATCAGGTGATTAACTGAATTGCTCTGTGCTTCCACTTCCTCAACTGTGAGCAAGAATGTAAAATCTGTTTTGCAAGAGCTTTGTGTGAAAATGAAATGTGGCGTCTACGTGAAGCATGAGTGTAGTCCTTAGCACACAGTCACTGTTCAGTGCCATGACTCGGAGGCTCTGCTTGGCTCCTTGCCCAAGCTCCTTGTCCTTCCTTCCATGTCCCTTAATGTCCTACTTAACTCCTGGCATAGGGTGTATCTGCGGCCATTTTCTGGGCATGCACCAGCCTCATCCCATAATTTCTGTCTCATTCCTTCCCACATTCACTTCCTTAGGAGCAAGCAGGATCTGGGCTCAGTCCTTCAGTGACCTCTACAGTGTTGTGTACTGAGTTGAAAGCAGTGATTTACCTATGGCTTTTCTCAAGACTTGGAGGGTGAGGTGTAAGTGGATCAGAACTCGGTACTCAAAGTGTGCAGCATTTGTGTCATCCTGGAGCTTGTTAGGGACGAAGAAGGCTGGCCACCGAATCAGAATGTGCATCTTAATGTTAAGTAGGGAGGTAGACATTAACCTATGTGTGTGAGAGGGGTCACAGAAAAAACCTGGCACTTTTTGAGGTTAAATAAGGAAAGAAACATAGATGCTTTAAAAGTCCTCCTTGGAAACAGCCTCGCACTTGCACATCAGAAGTCCAGTCTGTCTGGTAGCCTTGTAGATGGGCCCCAGCCCTCTCCTGAGACTATCCCAGGGGAATCTTCCAGCCAAGTTCAAAGGTAGCTGTTCAGCCCAATAACAAAGTGCTGATAAAGCCTGGAGAGGAATTTCATGACTTTCATGCCCAGAAAACCCTCTGTCCAGCAATATCCCAATAGAGGATGGAAAGGGGAGGAGATGCTTGTACCCATCAAAACTCCAGTCCAAATGCAGACTTGCAGTCCAGTTCTTTGCTGAGCAGCCCACCTGGCCTGTCAGGTGTATTCTCACCATTAAGCATTGTTAGCTTGCTCACTGTCAGTATCTGTCTCATGTCTGAAATTCTTTTCTTACTGGTAGACAAGCACTCCTGTTCCAGCTGTCTCAGGTAACACTGACAACATCTTCAGTGATACTGACAGATGTGAAAGCTTAAGAAGCCCTGAATTGGGTTCAGAGGTCAAGGGGTTTCCAAACCACACCCTCCCCCAAGCCCAGGAGAGCTGTAGACAGCTCTTGCTCTTTTCTCCAGGGGTGAGTATGAGTGTCTTCAGATCCACCAGCAGGATGTGTGTGTTCAAAGCACACATTAAAGGCAAATGTGTTCTGCAGAAATCATTTTTTTCCTTTCTAGATGATTAAAGTAAACCTTAAAATCCTAGGATTCACATGAAATATAGGACATTGCCTCCTTGCTTTAGGTTAGCTTGCCTGTTCCCCTGCCATTCAGTGAAGGCCCCCAAACCACACCCACGCATATTGTTGCAGATTTTTCTCTCTGCTGAATTTTTGAAGTGTTACAGCTCTTTTATGTTTCAGTTCTTTCTCTCTGCTGGGCTCTTTGTCTCCAGACCACGAAGATTTAGGCAGGCAACAAGGAAGTGTAAGCAAGGCAAAGGAAATTTATCAAATGAAAGAGAGAGCTCCTGGCACCTGGGAGTAGTCCCGAATGGGGTCCTTGAAGAAGAGATCATGAATAGGGGTTTTTATATGTTTCTAAATGGGAAACTTTCCCTGACTGGTGGCTATATATGTTAATAAGGTGGAAATCTTTCTCTCTGTCTCTCCCTCTCAGTCACTCAGGGAGCAGCTGCTAGAATCACCTTTTTTGCATAAATGTGCTAAGGAGGTGAAACCTAAATGTTCCTGGAGAGCCACTCAGAGGTCAGAGCCAGTCAGAAGTCAAAGCCTGGGTATTTTATTTTTATTTTATTATTATTATTATTATTATTTTATTTTTGACAGGCAGAGTGGACAGTGAGAGAGAGAGAGACAGAGAGAAAGGTCTTCCTTTACCGTTGGTTCACCCTCCAATGGCCGCTGCGGCTGGCGTGCTGCGGCCGGCACACCGCGCTGATCCGAAGCCGGGAGCCAGGTGCTTCTGGTCTCCCATGCAGGTGCAGAGCCCAAGCACCTGGGCCATCCTCCACTGCACTCCCGGGCCACAGCAGAGAGCTGGCCTGGAAGAGGGGCAACCGGGACAGAATCCGGCGCCCCGACCGGGACTAGAACCCGGTGTGCCAGTGCCGCAGGGCGGAGGATTAGCCTAGTGAGCCACAGCACCGGCCCCGAGTATCTTATTTTGCATGAAGAAGTGGACAGAGTGCTCAAACAGGTCCACAGTGGTCAGGATCTTTGGCTGGTATGACCTTGTCTGATGCTTTTGGTGATTGTGATATTCCTCTTTGGGGTCCATTGTCCTTTTCCACTTGCCTGTATTGAGAATCTGTCTGTAGGGCACTGTACAGCACTGTGGTGCAGTAGGCTAGTCCTCTGCCTGCAGCACTGGCATCCCATATGAGCACCAGTTCCAGTTCCAGCTGTTCTTCTTCCAATCCAGCTCTCTGCTATGGCCTGGGAAAGTAGTAAAGATGGCTGTTGCTCCCCCTCTTCGTGGAGGAACAACACAGGAACCTGCGCTGTTCTTTTGTCTGCTCGGCCCTCCCCGGGTTTGCTGCTGGTTCTTCCCGGGTTGGCTACCGACACTTCCACCTCCGTGGAAGGGCGGTTCCCCCTGCCACATTCCCCACTTCCGCGGGGGAGCGGCACACCGCCGGCCGGCTCTCTGGGGGCTGCACAGGTGTTCCTCTTAGATGTTCCCCTTAGATGTTCCCGGTGCATGTTGTCTCTCTCCTCCTTTATAGTCCTCTTCCACCAATCCCAACTCTGCTACCCACATGCCAAGTACGCTGCTCTCCTCCAATCAGGAGCAAGTCCTACAGTTTATTGGTTGAACTGGAGGCAGCTGTGTAGAAGCTGTTTCTCCCTTCTTAGCGCCATATTGTGGGAGAGCAGATGCATAGAATAAGTCTTAATTCCAGTAACTCAGTCCAGTCCGGGTTGCTCCCCACAGATGGCCCAAGTGCTTGGGCTCCTGCACCTGTGTGGGAGACCGGAAGAAGCTCTTGGCTTCTGGCTTTGGATTGTCCCAGTTCTGACTTTTGTGGTTATTCGGAGAGTGAACCAGTGACTGGAAGACCTTTCTGTCTCTCCTTCTCAGTGTCTGTAACTCTACTTCTCAAATAAATAAAATCTTTTTTTTAAAAAAAATCTGTTTCATATCTCTATCAATATTGTTTCTTATTATGGAAACATAATTTCACACACACACACACATACACACACACACAGGGGTGGTGCCATTTTCTATCCTTGGACCTGAGCTCATGTTCCATCTGTTCTGTCCAGGATGTCCCTCTTGACATTTTTGGCAAAATTTTAGTCATCGTTTAAGTTTCACTGAATGTGTCAGCTCATCCAGAGCCTTCATGTGCTCCCACAATACCCTGTATAAAATGCCATGTGAGAGACTTTCTGTTGTCCCCATATTGCATGACAATGCTCTGTTTATGTCTTGATCACCTCCTGGAAATACTGAACCAGAGAAGACAACAGCTTTGTTTTATTATTCATCTTTGTTTCTTTACCATCCAACACAATGTCAGGCACATTGTAGATGCCCTGAAAATGCTTATTTTATAAGTCAAGTGAAAAAAGCTTGATTTGTTGTGATGGCTTTTAATTTTGTCCTTTGAAGTTTAATCAGAATGGAATAAAATTACAGCAGACTCAAAGCATTTGGGAAATTTCTGTAAAACCTTGCAACCCAAGTGGAAAAAAACAGATCAAAGAGAAATTAGATGGCAATTTGTTTTTAAAAAAATTAGTGGCATTTTAATTAGAGAATATTCTTCTCATTGAAATGAGGAACTCCCAGGGAAACATTTGATACAGTAGAGTATCCCTTCTCACATTTTTTTCCTCCAGCTATTACAGGACCTGCTGAGCAGCCTTTGTGAAGGAAAGCTCTAGGAAGCCTTGCAATAAAACCACTCAGCACTTACACAGCTCTCTGCTCTTGTAACAATTAAGCCTTTCGCCCCTCCTCGCACTGCAGGGGGGAAGAGCCTGCACTATTGACTGGATTTGCTGGCTGAGGGAAGAGGCTCTGAGAATAAATGGCTTGTTCAGTTCCTCTGAACTGGACTGGCACATGCAGAATTCAGTTTTGGATCCATCTGTCATGTCAAGCAGTCTGTTCCTACCTGGGAGTTTAATGCCCTTTGACAAACACTGGAGGCTGTTTGGAAAGGGTCATTGTTTTCCAGACTTTGGGTTGTCCCAGTTTAAATTTTTGAAACTAAATTTAGTGATGGTGGCAGTGAGAACACACTGCCCCCTGAAAAGCCTGCAAATCATTCAAGAGAAACACCTACTGAGACCTATCTGAGGAGTGTCTGGACAGGGCTCTTAATCCTATCTACCAGGTCGATTTGACTAGGGTGTTGTGCACATGGGATCAGTTTTCTTAACCATCTGGAGCAACCTTGTACAATGCTTTGTTTTTCATGTATACTTTCCCTATCTATTCCCAGAAATGTCCTTAAAATTAATCAGTAGCCTTTTCAGAAACAGTACTGAAACTGAACCCCTATAATGTCTATAATGTAAAAGCAGGACCCAGCCTCTGGTCTGTCCCTCTTAGCCTAAGGTGTCCTTGCCTGTTTTTTTGGTTTTTTTTTTTGTTTTTTTTTTTTTCCAGAAGGAATTCACTGACTTGAGGGAGTGATTCAGCTGGCCTGGTTCTAATCACTGAACTCAAGGAGTCATTTGCTTGATGGCCAGTATTGTCCTGGGGGTGGTTTATGTAGGGGAATTCTAGGTCCAGGCGGAATGTAACTGCCATCTTCATGCTACTTGGCCACCATTAAGTCCCTAAAAAGCACGGCATCAAAGGAAGGTCATGAGTTCCACTGACCAACCAGGAACTTGGGCACAAGCTGACCATGCACCCCTTAGCCCCAATTTCTATCTATAAGAACCTTCACCCCTAACTCCTAGGGAAGCCCAGAAATAAGCAATAGCTGCCCAGCTCCTTGCTCTTGCTTTGCAATAAATGCCTACATTCTTCCCCCACCCCAATGTCAGTGATTTGTGTTCTGTGCATTGGATGAGCAGATCCAGTTTGGGGGATTCTGTACCAGTGCCTCCAACTAGTTTGGGGTGTTGTTCAGTAGCAGTACCCTGGCCTTGAAGATGTTTGCAACCAATCATGTTCTAAAAAACATCATCTCCAACCTGTGAGAAATTCACCCCCGCTTACTAAAATCAGCATTTCAGGCAGAGCCAATGTATGTTCACTGAAAAATTACTGTCAAGGAATACATAAATTCTGTTTTTTAAAAAAAGTCCTTTTAAGCAATATTCAGTTATTGGTTTGAAAGGTAGAGTGTCAGAGAGAGGGAAAGACACAGAGAAAAGATCTCCCATATGCTGGGTCACTCCCCAAAGAGCTGCAAAGGCTGGAACTGGGCCAGGCTGAAGCCAGGAACCTAGAACTCCATCCA